TTTTTTTTGACAGGACCTCACTCTGTTGCCCAGGCTGGAGTGCAGTGGCACCATCACCGCTCACTGCAGCCTTGACCTCCCTGGTTCAAATGATTCTCCTGCCTCAGCCTCCCAAGTAGCTTGGACATCAGGTATGCACCACTACACCCGGCTGATTTCTGTATTTTTTGTAGAGATGGAGTTTTGCCATGCTGCACAGGCTGGTCTCAAATTCCTGGGCTCAAGCAATCCACCCACCTCGGTCTCCCAGAGCCCTGGGATTATAAGCGTGAGCCTCCATGACTGGCCTATTTTCCATTCTTTCAAAAATATTTTGCTTTTTTCTGGACCCCCTTAAAATATCTTTACTTCATTTTCAAGTGATGGTCATTTAAACTGAGCATGGTGGTCTTAGTTGGAACTTGAATGATGTCTCCAACAGAAGAAAAGAATTCTAGCTTACCTCCTTCTTCCCTCATTCAGATTATATATCCTGGGATCATTTTACATTCATTTAGAATCCATTTTTTGGTGATCTTACCTAGGGGACTCTTGCCCATTTTGTATCTGCATAATTCATCCATGAAACTTCTATAACTAACATCCATAACTTCATCTATGAAATGAGGACAGTGATTCCTGTCCTGTCCATATCTCATAGTTTTGGAGACGTTCAACCAAGCAGTATATAGGGAAGGCACTTTAAAAGGTATAAGTAACCATCAGCATAGACAATTATTATAGCATATTTTGCTTTAGAAAAAGCTAAACTGCAGAAATTGAGCCATATAATTATTTAGTAAGACTGAGATTTGGATGTCCAAATTTATGTACTATTTATCATATGTAATAGGTAATAATGACAAAGTAATTTAATTAGTCATTGAATTATTTTAAAAGAGAATTCTTTTGCATAACAGAAAGCAGTGCCCTCTTTATGCCATAGACAAACATAAAGACTAGTTAAATACTATGCTGTGGTCAAATACTGTACTAGTTAAATACAGTATAATACTACACTATATGTATTTAACTAGTCCTTTGTTTGTCTGTGATATGAAAAGGGCATTGCTCTAAGTGATGCTTTCTGAGCTTCCTGTAGGCCTCCCTGGTTTTCTGGCCTCTACTGGTCTACAAAACCCCATACCTTCTGTAATTGCTATGAATTCTGCCCTAGGCTTCTGATACAGAACTAATAGAGGGTCCCTCCATTTTCCAGTAGGAAAACACATTTTAACTCTTTTTGTGCAGTTCCATGACAACAATGAACTTTTGGAATCCATTGGCTGAGAAAATAATGATAAAAGGACATTAAAAGTTTCAGTAAAATTTTAAAATGAATTTATATTTAATTGATCACAACTGCATCCCAATGCTTTTGGAAGATACACAAGCATGCCTGAAACGTGACTCTACCGGATGTGTTGTAGACATGCAGTAGATATTTGTCAAGTGAGTGCACGAATAAGAAGAGAATAAAAATTGGCAGACAGTGCTTGGGGTATATGGGGACTTGTGACCCTTCTGTCGTAACTCCACTCCCTGGCCACTGCTCTGAGAGCCAGAGCTCAGAGCTCAGAAACCGCTTGCATTGTTTCTTATATACTCAGTATACTACAGGCACTCAATAATAGTGTACGGAACGCGGGTATGTATAAACGAATAAATGCATACATGAATATTTCTCTTGTCTTTCAGCTAAATTACAATTTTGAAGACAGCTGGTATGCCGTGGGCCTTTGTCTGTCCCTGGCAGAGCCCAGCACTGAGTTTGGAGAAAACACCCTGCTTTCAGATAAACAACCAACGTGATCAGTATCACCTACCAACAGAGGCATTTCTGGAGGAGCTTATTTAAAAGGAAACATCTAAAAATTTAAATACCTAGACGGACTGTAGATATTTTTGATTCTAGAAAATGCTTTTCGTTTCTCTGCAAGGGCACATGAAAGAAAGATTGGAGTTAGAAAAATATGAGGAGACAAGAAAAGTCCTAAGAAGGAAGACGTGTTGACAGTCTGGAGACACGGGAAGAGCATCCTGACCGAGGACGGGACAGCTTATCTTTTGCAGCCTAGAGTGGATCCTCCGCTGAGTGAGCTAAGGCCTTATCAGAAAGAAGGCAGTGTGACCAGAACACTATCAGGCAGAGATTTCATTGGCAAAAGAGTTGGTTAACTTGTTACCCCTTGAGGTGGCAGTGGCAAAAAGCAATTTACATATTCCTAAGTCATGAACTAAAGCATGTTCTGTATTTTTATGGGCAACATAACATAGATAACTCATTAGAGAATTCACTCACCTCAACGATGCTGGATAGAGCAGTCCAGTCATCTCACAGAGACACTCAATACAGGTTCTTCTTGGAGGATCAGTCATGAAATGCCAAAGAAAGAGTCCCTGCCACCCAATCTGGTGGCCACTTTGCCTGGCAGCAAAGGAAGTGAAAATGTCAAAATGAAGAGGAAGAAATTCAACATTCTCTCTCTCTAAGGGGAAAAATGCAGACACAAGTCTTTTTTTTTTTTTTC